CAACCTAAAAAGAACTTTGAGAAGCTCAAAAGATATAATTATCTACAATTCTCCCTCCATTAAACTGGCATTTTACAGAATGTGGATCCATTAGGAAAAAAAATTACAACCCCCAGATCCCTAAGTTTTAAGTGTGCAAATGGAGGCCAATTGCTTCCCTCTCTGAACCTCAGTCCTGGCACTGAAATAAAACTTATTTCAGCTAAATTACATTCTTAGGGATAAATTTCAGATAGTCTCTCCTTTACTTTCATTATTCTACCTGGGAGTTTAGATGGCCACAAAAGCAAGCTAAAATGAAAAAAAAGTCAACCTTTTCAATAGGGCCAAAACAAGGGTTGTTTTCCTCTCTGCAGTCAGTCCTTCAGCAAATGATCAAAACTTTCACAAAGTTGTTTCTCCCAGCCCTGCACAAACAAGATTACCATGACCCATCATCATGGGATCATTGCTTTGCAGGATTGTTAAAAAATACTCACAACCCCCAACACAAAGAGTAAGACACACCACCTAAAGAAAATCACCTAGAGTTGAGAATAAAAAATTGGTGGCACAACACGATATCAGACAATTCTGCACAAAGCCCCCAATTCACTTAAACAGGTCTTGGAAGGCATACATATGGCTACAGACATTATTTATTAGTATATACCTCTTGTACAAAACTAAGTAAAACCTTTTTCAATGAGCAGAATATTATTTAAATACGGCAGGTTCCAAACCTGGTGTTCAAAAAACGTTTTCCACGGGAGATCCATCACAAAATCAATTTCCAGGACTTATGGGCTGGTGTAAGCCCTCCTTAAAACCTTACAAAAGTTACAAATTTAGTTAAGTGTTGTGATTTAAGGACCTATGTCCTTAGATAATTGGTAACTGGTACTACCAATAATGCATGACACACAATTTTCACTGTAATTTCAAGGATATAATTAGATTTCATCAACCTATTCCAGACTAAAATCCTCCCAGACTATAATAGTATAGAGTACATATGCATGTTTATTTTCTGATCAGTTGAATTAATGACTAAGGCATACAAAGTGCTCTTTAAATCTTCACATGAAGAACAAGCTTCCATAACTATAAAAATGGAGGATGTGATTGCAAGACCTCTCTTATTCAAAATAGTCAAAGAGAGTTCATGGCATCCCATCTCTGAATCCACTGGTCAGAAGCAAAGAAGAAACAGCCACGTGTGAGAAGGCAGTGAAACAGTGGCAAAAGCCTAGGGCTGGGTGAGTGAAGTGAGGGAGTGGTATTAGGTAGACAACCATACAGGAGAAGGATTAGGCATCTTGAAATAAAAATATCTCAAAAGAAGGACAGGGACTCCATATTTATTCCTTCCAATAACAGGCTCTACCTGGCTTCGTTTTCCCTAGATAAGAATTTCGTATTCTGTATATTTATATCAGGATTTAATTTAACTGATATTTTTAGGCATCCACTGCACCATTCTTAATTCTGCTTACTGTGAGCCTGCTTCTGTGTATGTACAGAGAGTGGTATCAGAAATGAACATGACATCAAACATTATTTAAAATGCTCATATAAACATTCTCCTCTTTCTTCCCCATTTACTTTCCTTTTCCTTGCCAGCCATCTTCTTCTGCCTCCCTCTCCTTTTCATAAGTCTTTCCATTTTACTTCCCTGGCTTTTTTTCAGCTTTTCCTCTTCTCTCCCTCTCTCAGGTCTTTTATGCACTTCTACTCTCCCATTTTGCCTTTCAAATTTGCTTCTGGCTAAAGTGTTCTCAAGACTATTTGAATAAATACAAGCTGAATGGATACCACAGGCACCAGCCACTTCTATTGTGCTGCAGTAAACAATACTTTGCTTTTTCATTGCTGCTGCCTGGAACAATGTATTGTGCTTAGATTATACTCACTTCATATATATATTGTTTCAGTTAATAGAAAGCAATTGCATATTGATTGCAGAAGCTTCAAAGGAATGTGTGAGCAAAAAAAGATATAAACCCAGTCTAACAGGGTGAGGAATAATAAGAATGAAAAAGTCTGACCTGGTAACAATACACAGTACATGTATACACGAAATAAAAGGTTATCATTTTAAGAGCTCAGACGTACAAAGAACGGGGGAAAGGATTTTTATTCCACATATGATAGAGGCTAAATGTCCTAATGAATTCAGCTCCTATTTCATCAGTTAAATTAAGGAACAGTCCTAGTATCCTGATACAAGCCATCTTTTCCCTAAAACCTCTATTCTCCCAATCTTCACACTCCTTGACTGGCATCTGGACCCCGTAGGAAGTAGAAGGAGGAGGAAAAGCACAGAAGAGTACAAGCATGGCAGTGTCACTGTTGGTTTATCCAGAGGGGAAGGAGCTTCAGAGAAATGTTTTTTTCTGGGCACAAATAAAGTTAGAATAATCCAGACCTTAAATTATGAAAGCAATATTTAAAATAATTAATGAAATGTACTGCCACATGTGTGCTTGAAAGAATGGTGAAGGAAGCACTTTAGCTCTAATTAATCTGTTCCAATTAGGGGAATATTAAGCCTATGAATGCTGAATCCAACCGGGGGATGATCTCTCCACTGATATTAAACCTTATTGGAACAAAAAAGATATACATGCCTCTGTTAATACACATGTGCAAGAAAGGTTGATGAATAAAAAGAGGTGAGGAAAAAAGTGAAGAGATACAGAGGAACTTTAAGCTATTGATTCAAAAACATAGGGTATGTTTATCATTCTAAACCTTCTTTGCTTGTACTGTGCAGTAACAGCAGAAGGAATTCTTCTTGATGATGATGGCATTTAAGTTTTAGCCCAGGTCCTGAGCTATCAAGTATTTTATCTGCACATTTGGGTTTTTTACTACTATAAGGGTTGCTGCAAAGAAGGTTATTTTTATATTAATGTTCTTACTTGTTCCCTCTCCTTCAAAATTCCTTTCATTTAAGGTACTCTTAGGAAAATTTGGCAGAAGATTTTTCTCTCCAAATAAAGAGATAGGGAAAAGGTCTCTTCTCCTAAACTATGCTTAGGTCTTGTTAGATGCACAGGAGGAAGTGCAGAATGATGACAAAGGATAATAATTACAATGATAAAGATACAGTCTTTGCTCATTTAAAGCTAATCCAAGAAGTATAAGCCATAAGCAGATTCAAACCTGCATTGAAAATAATTGTTACTTTGCCCATCTACTAATTTGCCTCTTGCAAACACATGCTTATTCAAGTCATGGATACTTAAACAAAATAGCTTTATTTACTTCACTTCATCCAGTGTGGTCTTTCCCACACCCGTGGAGTATTTCCTGATACATTTCCCAGTGGAGCAACACCACATAAAGGCCAGCTTGACATGTTGTCTCTTGATGGTGATGCAAACCCAAATGTTGCTGCTCTCTAGAATGAACACTTTAAAGTAATATAATATTAATCTTATTATTATTATCTATGATTTATTCTTTGCAGCACTGATGAGGCCTCCCAGCTCCTGCCAGGGTAAACAGCCAAAATTTCTGTCTGATTTAATACTGAAATAAGGCTGGCCCTAGAGAAACTGATAATTTCTATCTTACCACTTCAAGGCTGAGAAAAGAGAACACAATATTTTTCTTCAAATTTTCCCCTTTTAGGTTTACATCACCCTTGCAGATTCACAGGAGCAGAATGGCCAGTGACCCCCTGGTGAACGGACCCTTAAATTGTTTCACAGAAATGCCTGCAAGAGGTGCTCAAACACCAGTTGCTCATTTCCCCCTTACGGTTTTCATGCTGCTGACGCTCCTCAGGTTCATCAGTGGTGGGTAAGACACCTAAGGCTGTTCATGATGTAACATCTTCCACAGCGTAAAAAGTATAATTTAAGAAAGTACTAACTACAGCTGGTTTAAGTACATAATGTAACTGATCTTAACTTCATTTGAACTGGGAAAACACCTGTATTTATTCTCTTACACTTATTTTTTTTTTTTAAGGAACACATTAGATGGCATGGAGGTGGTAACAAGACATTTGAATAGATAAATGGTAAACAGCGGCTGTGAAGACCAATAGTTTTGTTCAAACCACATGAAAGTTGTATGATCACAGTGAATTACAACAGTAAAGATTGGCAGCCTAAAAGAATTGAAATTGTAGTGTTGAATGTGGTTCTAGTACAAAATTGTCTCCTGGGCCACCTCTTTATTTTTCTCAGTAGAAAACTACTACAAAAATCAGCACTGTCCTTGCAGTAGAGATCAGAAGAAAAGGAGAAGAATGGCCTTGAGAATTAAATTATTTTCCCATCCCTGCAGCCTGTGTAGTCAACTGTATAAACCCAGAAACACCTTTGTAGGAGCACCAAAAAATAAGTCTATATTTACTTGTTTTACATGGAAAATAAGATCATCACATCTCTGTAAATAAACCCTTCATTAAAAGATAGTCTAGTTCTGCAAGCATGAGTTAGCAGTATAGAAAGAGGTTCAAAAAGCCCTTTGGCAAGACCTGGACTCAGCAGATTGAAGCAGAGCATTCCTGTTCTCTGAGAACAGAACAGCACCATGGAGGTGAATGAAGCCCCCATGGTGAGCAACACCACACCAGTGTGTGCTACTTCATGTCTGTCCTGACAGGGCAATTCCATGGACACATGCTCAGCTGATCCTGTGCCTTTCACAAGCATTACAGATAAGCACCAGTTTTGCTTCTTGTAAATTACATTCACTAATTTTTTTTGCAGTTTTCCAAAAATAAACAAAATACCAAGACTGTCTGTACTTGTGTCCTCTATGTCAGTTATACAGATAAATTCCAACTATTTTAGACTCATTCCGTGCTACTTCAAGTTAAATCCCACAGGTCGTTGAACAATGGTGTTAAATTTTTCCAGGTACAACAGCAATCCCTTCACTTTGTAACCCTTGGATACCTATTTGCCCTTTTTTATAATTGTCCTGCAAGGGCAACATGTGATCACATCCAAGATTAATGCACATATATTTTTCATTACTTCCAAATGCTTCACTCCTACCTGATGGCAGGGATTCTATTTATATTGGCCTCCAAAATACAACCTTCTTGTTGCAGGTCCACTCTTCCTCTGTATTGCCATTCCTTGGGATTATCCAGTTCTTCCAGTATGAAATCTTTGCTCTCCTTTATATTGCCAACACCACTTAACAGCATGAACAGTTGTCACTATCATGCTCCCTATGAGAAAAATATTAATGAAATAGTAAGTAAGAAAAACCTCAGAATTATTCCTAGGGGAACTTAGTCTGTAAGTTTCTTCAGCTCCAAGAACAAACCTTTTACTAATTTGTTATTGATCTCCAATTTCTGTTACTTATCCCCATCTTTTTAAATAATTGCTAATTTTCTGCATGGTATTGTTTCAAATTCATTATAAAAGTCCACACAGACTAAAATCTAATATTTTCCTACCCTATAAAATAAATTACTTAAAATCCTAAGTTAATGAAAATATCAGGTTATCTGGTGTGATCGTGCTTTAATAAACAGTAATATATCCCATTTTTTAATTGCTAATATATTTCAGTTTCATGGTTTCAATAAATATTCATTATACTGATGCAAATTACTGAGGCAGATTAAGAATTTGATAGGTGAACTTGAACAGAGTAAATTCAAATCTTTTGGTTTCCCATCTTGAACTAGGAATAACAATAGACAAGAAAACAAAAGTTTTCTTAAGAGGAAGAGAAGAAAAACCACACCTGTAAGAGCTAGATCATGGTAATTGTATTGTTGGATCTTCATCCTGTGTATTTTTTCTAACCCGAGTATTATTACTGGATAGCACAGTCAAATTATGAATGCTATAGTAACAGAAGGAAGATGAATGGTTAAAATACTAAACATTCAGCCTGAAAATGAGTGTTGTTACTGATATTATCACCTGGGAAGCATTTCTGCAAAGCATCCTAAAGACAAAACAGTGCCCGCAGCCACTGCCTGTGTGTGATAAAAGGCAACAGGTGGCTTCAATGGAAAGCAAGGAGAGGACCATTTTCAAACAGAGGTGAGTGTAAAACCTGATTTCTGTGGAGTTCTTACTGCACTGCATCAGAGAAGAGTTTTGAGCATGGGTGGCATGAAAGACATGTTTTGGTAGATATTTCAAAGGGGGCTTACATGACAGCAGTAAAACATGAGCACAGCAGCCTGGAACAGTCATCTCGATTTTCCACTTCTTAACTTCTAGTGTCCACAAACTATAAAAGCAAACTTCAGGACAATACCCATCACTAAGGCAAAACAGAAAGAAAAGTCTGTCATGTATTACACGAAAATAATTAGTGTTGCTATTTTTCTTCACCATTAAACAAAAACCAGCGTAACTCTATTTATCACTTCAAAGAAAACAAATGTCAGAGAGAATAATGTCAAAACACTGCTCAATATCATATTAGTAAATGCTTGCAGATCTACAAAGGTGTAATTAAAGACATGGATTTTAAATGGTTAAGGCCACTTATGAACTTAGGCTGTGGTGAATCTTTATGTTTTGCTAGAGAGAGGCCTCCAGGAGCAAATTTTTAAATTCATTTGAACCAGAAACCATTTGTCAATTTTTACTTTCTATTGGTAAAAGTTTCATAATGAGATCTAGGCTAAGGTTTTAAAAATATAATTATAATCATATCAAACAGCATTATTACACTTCTCAGAATGTATTACAAGATGTTTGAGAAGAGATGATAACAGCAAAGTTGGGTTTACACAGTAGCACAAGAAATTCAAACTTCTAGGAGTTCTGTAGACCTTAATAAGATGGAGTTTAAAAATAGAAAAATACATCCAGAATTTTAAATATCTCTATTTTTTTTCTAATATATTTTATAATGACAGTAGTTTCTAGGATTCCTGAAATTTGGCTATACCCACGAGATTATATAACTTAAAATATAGTTATTTTTCTTCTTTAACCACTAAGAAATTCCATTAACCTTGAGCCTGCAATGTCACAACAGTAATGGTGAAATCTGCAGTTTGCACTTCCAAAAACATTTAGTAAAAATATGGCTGAAAGCAATCTGCAAAAAGTGTAGGAATAGCTAATGGAAAATAATATGATATACCAACACAAGGATTTTAGAAAAAGACCTCTTGTCTGCCAACATCATTGTCACAGTTACTTTTCTTTTTAATAAATTCTAAAAAATAAAAAGTGCTAAACTTCAGTCAGGAGGATTCTGTACTTTAAAATTAGCCCATAAACATGATTTAATATAGGATCACCTTACCTTTTTAATACAAATGTTTTAAACCTTATTTTATGCTCCACATGAATTATACATCTGCAGTTCATATCATTTATAAATGATGTGGCCTTTAAGGAATTTGACAATGGACTGATCTAAGATCAAGGGGAAATTCTCCAGAATGCTTTTAGGAATAAACATCAATCTGACATTATAATTTTTTAGGCATTTTGAAGTGAAGTATCAATTTTATCAGATAATTATCTGCTGGAGGTCAGTGTATGTCAGTTTCCAATCATTTTCTATTAGAGATATAATGCAGAGAAGGTCTATATATACTGGAACAGATTTTCCCTGCATGGTTATAACTAAGTAGTCCTTCAGGCTTCAGGAAGAAAACATAGGTAAGACAAAGATGTTTCACCTGCTCTCCTGAGCCAGGCAAAATTCATAGCATGCACAAAAACTGAAGTCTCCTGTTATGGAACTGTCCTAGCAGGGATAAATTAGTGAAAAAAGCTTGAATTAGTCATGACCAATATTCAATGCCATCTCAGAAACGCTGCATTTTTCAGCATAAATATATAAACCCCTAAATTTACCAGAAATCACAGAAAAACATAGATAAAGCTTGTGTAAATTCACTCTATCTTAACTATGCTCTATAACTCTTCTATGGTACCATTTCTTTCCTTTAAATGAATTTTATTCCAGATCTTTGTGTTGTTCCCTATTTTAGAATCAAATTTGATCTGTTTCACCATAAAGAGATGTAGCTGAAGTCCCACCCTAGTTTATGAACGTAAACAAAAGGTGGAAATTGTAAAGTGGAATGTTATGTCATGCAATTATTTTAGAGCTATCTCTATCCCCCTCCTCAAGATTACTAAAAATCAGTGTGACCTGCCAGGGGATGAAAGTTCATATTTCCCAGGATCTGGCACCAAATTTATGGGATACAGTCTCTTTCCAAGACCACCTGACACTGAGTGCCATTGGCTCTGCTATTTTACCTAATAGAAAGTACCAGGCACAATATTAAATACAGGTTTTTGACTTGCAAAGCAGAACAGGACGAGGGATTCTGCACCTGTTGCAATTTCTGTGAGTGGCCACGTGGCTTTGGACACACATATTGCTTCTTTGAGGGTGCTGTCCTGGTCCATCTGGCTGGGAGGTCTTGGTGGAATCTCTTCTCCTTTTAGACTCTAAGCACTGCTGGAGTGTGAAAGCACAGCTATAACTGAGGTAATAAATGCACTCACTCTCTCATCCTACTGCACTACAAGAGCAAGGTTTCAGGGGATTCAGTTGGGAACCTGGTAAGCTCCAGGGAGATCTTCCACCTCTGAACGTGCCCAAACGGAAATAACCATCAACTGTGGACCCACAGGGCTCATTCTAAGATAAAAAGCTAACAATTAGTTTACAGAGACAAAATAAACAAATAAATAAATTGGTTTAAAGTCTTCTCTCTCTGTTATTCTTAGCTGATCTATGTTTTTCTGAGAAAGAAATGTTCTTACTGCAAAACTTCTGTATTTAACATTGCAGGGGAAGTCTAGAACCAAGGAAAAGCATTATTAACAATAACAATAATAATAATAAAAGCAGGGCATCAAACATCATGTCGAATTCTAACTGTTGAGCTCTTTCTTTTTTTTTTTTTTTTGTCTTTATCTTGAATAAACCAAGAGCCTAAAATTGTCAGATTGTAGCACTACAGTCTGTCATCTCAAACTGCAGTACTGACTGGATTTCATAGATTGACACAGGCTTCCCTGCCTTACATACCAGCCAGGCTGCCACTGCCTCCCTCCACATCAGGGAAGTAAAAGTGCATCTAACAGAGGCTTTTGGAGCTCTGCACATCACTGAGAGAGATTCTCTAGCCTTAGGTGCAGACAACACCAGATTAGGTCCTTTCTGGTTATGTCGGGTTTTAATTCAAGTATGGCCCATCCTGAAGGTCAGTTTAGACCCACAGTGTGAGCAGATGTGATGCGTGACATGGCCCTTTCACTGGAGGCTGCCTTCACCAGCCTGGGTGACATTCACCACCCAGCGGTGCCAGAGGTGCCAGCACATGGAGGATCCTGCTTTAGCCTTCCACAACCTCTTATTCCTCAAAGGTAAGACACACTACAGCAGAAAAAAAGCAAATGGTTTTGCCTCAAAAACACAGTATTCAGAGGGTTAGCATGGTGTATAACAAGCTACATTTCATCCTTTTAGCTGTCTTTTTTTTTTTTTTTTTTTTTTTTTCTGCAGGGTGCTAGCTATTCATCCCATAGAGCTTAAAAGGCACTGGAAACACTCTAATGAATAAGGGCTTGTGCCACAGTTATAGATGAGATATTGCCCCCATTTCACAGTTGGAAAAATAAGTGCACATAGAGAGCAAATGACTTTCCCAGTTGCAGAGTATGCATATCTGTGGCAGAGCTGAGAGGGTTGATGGACTATCCCTCTGCTTGAACCACCATCCTACATCCCATCCTTTCCCCAGGAATAATTCTGTTCTCATGAATGGTAAAAACCAGACAGAAGTTCCTGAGAACAGACATGTCTGAAAAAGTCTTTGGCACAGATTAAAAATGGCCTTGAAGCTTTAAAAAGACAGTCTTGGGCTCTGGAGATGTGTAATGGGTTTTAAAGCTTCGTTTTTAGCTTTTGTGGTTATGCAGCAAGATTTTAAGTAGTCAACCAGCCCAGTCCATCTGGCTGTTCCTGCTGGTGATGATAGCAGCGGCCTCTGCTTATACATGCTGTGCTCATCCACAAAATTCTGCAGCTGACATGCAGCACACTCGGGTTTTGTTCCAGTTGAGCTTTGATCTACAGCATTTGAAGATGAGCACTTCCTTTCAAGATATTTGCAAACCTTGTCAGAGTCTGATTGCAGCATGACATCGACATTAGGCTGATTATTACTTGTCTGAGGGAGCACTGTTTCCATGAACACACTGGCTTTTCTCCTGCTAGCTAGTGAGCTAGATATTAGTGGCAGCAGCTCTCTAGGCAAAGTGTCAGTAATGCTGCTGAGACAGAAAAGAACTCTTTTTTTTGTGTAAATGCTAAAAATATGCCAACAAGATTTCAGGACAGTGTTGCTTTATATCTCAGATTAAACAAACAGACAAAAAAAGCCTGACTACACCAACTCCAGCTCTGACTTATTCAGTATATTTTGACTATGTACAGAAAGTCTATTTCACCTAAATAGTATATTCATTTTACATTATACGTTAGTGTTGCAGGCAAAAAGAAAATAAAGAAGAGGAATAATCTCTTTGGAAATGACAAAACATTACTTTTTTTCATTCTTTTTTTTTTTCTTTCTCCACTTTTCACCATTTCAGCCCCGAGCTCCTCCCTTTTTCATAGTTTGAAAAAGAAAAAAAAAAAATCCCAGCCTTTCAGTCTGAAATGACTGGATTAAGGTAAAGGGGTAACCTTGGTGAAAGAGAACATGCATGCCATCTGTACAGAAAGTGATGGCACACCCAGAGTAAATGCCCAGTTCCACTACGTAGTTCAGAAACTCCTTGGGAACACTGAGCAACCAAAACACATCTGAATGAAGACAAGGAAGGTTCAACCTCTGCTTCCCTGTCCAAGATCTTATATAATACTGTACATTTGCTGGTCTACAGGGAAGTCACTCTAATTAATCCAAAAAAATTAGATAAATGTGTCTTCTATACATAACCACAGTCCCTGCTCAATCTTCTGTTCTCCACACTTGCCTTAAATCCCTGACTCAGACTCTGCAAGTGATGGTAAAAGACTGGAGGGGACCTGGACTCCCTCAATATCTGATCACATTTTGGCAGCTGTGTGGATTTTCAGCCAAGCACAGTGGAAATGTTAAATGTTAAATGAGCCAATGTCCTATGGACATCTGACGAGAGAGCCCCTGGAAGGGAACTGCTTTGCTGCACCAGAGCAGCTGAGCTAACAGAGACAGCATTTATTTTCACCAGAGCATGTTGCCCCAGTCCTCTGTTTATTTTAGCATTGTTGGATT